GTAGACGGTGCCGCCCTCCTTCTCCATGGCCTGGCCCAGGGACGAGTCCTCCGGGCACCCGATCTCGAGCAGGTCCAGCTGCGATGGCCTCAGCGTCGCAAGCAGGTCGTCCTTCAGCACTGCCTGGTAGGTCAGCAACTGGGTGACCAGCGCCCGCGTCTCGGCGGCGCCCTGAGCCTTCACCAGTGGGGGCGGATCTCCCGCCAGCCCCGCGGACCCAGGTGCTTCCCCAGTCCCCGCGCCGGGCCGTCCACGGACTTCGGAAGACCGTTCTTGCTGTAGTTGAGCAGGTGACCGCGCGACCTCCACTTCTTCCTGTCCTGGATGAGTGCTACCATGCGCTGCCAGTGGCAACCTGGCACCATCGTGGGCTGCGAAGTCTCCTCTGGGTCCTCCTTCGAGGGCTCGTCGGCCGCCTCGGCGCAGCGGCGGCGGCTGTTCCGCACATGCGGTACCGGCCGCGGCTCCGGTGTCGCCGCGGTCGTCAGGAGCTCGGCCGCCCAGCTCATGTACGGGCGCAGGTCCTCCTGCTTACGCTGCCCAGCGCCCCTTGAGGTAGCCAAGCTGCGTCTGGAGCGCCGCCTCCTCGTACACCGCGGACCAGGCCATCTCCTCGCAGACGAGGGCCACCTGCTCGGGGTTCGCCTGCGGGTCCGAGTCCGCCAGGAGGACTCCGGCCTGCTCCAGCGCGTTATGGTACATCTCCTCCGGCGATGGGTCGTCCTCCCCCGAGGCGTGGCCCGCCTCTGCCGCCGTCGGCGGCTCCGTACCCTGCGCCGGCCCCGTGTGCCCGGGGCCCCGCGAGGCAGGCGGCCGCGAGCAGGCAGGTCGGGCCGAGGAAGAGGGCGCCTCCTCTGCGGGCGGGTGCTCGCTCAGCTTCTCCCATTCCGGGTCGCTCTCCTCTGTAGTTGTTTTGCCCTCTGGCACGTAGATATGGAATGATTCGAGGAACGATCGCGTATACTCGAGCCTACATGGCGACGGACTCGATGATGAACCCAGGTTTCGTGATGTGGTCGTCTGAGGCATAGTCTTCAGTCGCACCGCCGATTGACTCGATAATGTTCTCGCTCGTGTCGGTGTCGATCGGGGTATGTTCGCAACCGCGGCTGATGGCTGTAGTGATAGTCGTGATGAGACTGATGTGATAGCCGTCGGTGTGGCCGTCGCTGCTAGGACGACGGCAGATGCAAGGGGTGGACTCTCTTCTCCCTCGGGGATGTTGGCACTGTCGCCCGGCTCCGCGAGTTCCGGGCGCAGTCGTTGTCTGAGAGTAGCGGCAGGCCCCAGTGGCCAGAGCGCAGGGGCTCCAGCCTCTCACGGTGCCCGACCGAGAACTCCAGGTAGCCGTCGTGGGTCACGTTCGCCTCAGCTTCCTTCAGGTAGTCCAGGCCCAGCAGCATTGGACTCTCGGAGGGCACGAGCGAGAACCAGAGCTTGCCTCCGTGATTCCTCAGGCCCATCGGGTGCGGGATGCCCCCTCTCCCGACGCTCATGCCCATGGTGTTGTTCGCGTACGTGAATCGGGTCCGCTCCTGGTGGTCCATCTCCGTGAAGTCCTGGCCGTACGCTGCGCACAGTAGATCTGGTCGCGCACAAACTCGAAGAGCGCCAGCCCGCTCATGGACTTGGTGGCCCCGCAGTCCACGATCGCGAAGCCCTGGAGGTCCGCCTCTGAGAAGAAGCTGAGCCCCAGCGCGATGTTCGGGGAGATGGCCAGCAACCACTTGTCCTCGCTCTCCCAGTGCGACACGCAGGATACGGCCGCCTCGGCCACGGCCTCGCCGTCCGCTTCCTCGTAGCCGATGTTCATGTTCCCGTTGCCTCCGCCCCCAGTCTGGTACCAGGAGGGGCAGTCCACAGCTTTGTGTCCTGTCTGCAGGCAGAGGAGGCACTTCAGGCCGGAGCCGCGGCCTTGCAGCTGCCGCGCTGCTCGGCCTTGCTTTCGAGCCTGGCCGGCAGGGGCTCTCGGAGGTGGCGGAGCCCCCGTGTCGCCTCGGCCACGGCTCGGCCTTGCTTTCGAGCCTGGCCGGCAGGGGCTCTCGGAGGCGGCGGAGCCCCCGTGTCGCCTCGGCCACGGCCCTTGGCCCCCTTCCGGGTCGGCGGCAAGGCGGCCAGGACCACGACCGTGTAGTAGCCGCGGGCCCGGGAGACTTCGCTGAGCAGCTTCTGGGCCTGCTCCCAGGTGCGGGTCGCCGCGTCCGCCCCCTAGGCCGCCAAGGCCTCGTGCTCCTCCAGCGCGGCCACGTCCTCCTCGTCGGCCAGGGCGAACTCGTCCGGAGGCGGCTTGTGGTCGTCCACCAGCTCCTCGTACGCCTGCCAGTTGATCTCGTCGGCGAAGTTGACCGAGCGGTGGGAGCCTTGCCTCAAATGTTTGTCCCGCACTGCCAGGTCGTCCTCGGCCCACGCATCTCGTAGGCGCCTCCTCACGTTGTCGAGCTTCCAGTCGCCCTTGATGGTGCTGCTCACCACCGCTCTCTCGGAGGGGGTCCAGGTTGCTGTTGCGCCACAGGAGAACCCCCCGCACTGCACTCGGCAGCATGTCTCCCACGTCTGACACCAGCAGCTTGTACGCCCTGTGCAGCTGATCGTACGCTTCCTCCTCGGTCTCGATCCTCTGGGCCATGCTCTGGGCGAGTCGCCGTGTCAGGGCACTGCGGTTCGGCCCAGCGTCCGTCTTCTCGCCAATGTCCGACACCACCTGCGTCCCCAGCTCTCGCCGGAATGCCTCGACCAGGTTGTTGGGCCCGTCGGCGATGGCGATCGACTTCGGCTCCAGCGGGACCCCGTCCCCGTCGAGGCCGGCCTCGCGCGGCAGCCGGAAGGCGAAGCGCTGCTGTGCTGACCCATGCGGCAACGCGGCCACCAGTCGCGGGCCCAGCAGCGGCCTCACCTCCTTGGAGGTGCCCAGCGTCAAGAGCTCCACCGCAGTGGCGTAGTCCTCCAGCGTCTCCGCCTTCCCGTGCAGGGCAGGCGCGGCGGAGGCCCCAGCCATTGCGCGCCCGTCCGTGGTTCCTGGAGCCACAGTTCCGCTACCAATGTCAGTGCTGATGTGATGCCTGCTTCTCTCTCTCACCGGTCACGGTGATGCACTGTGTGATGCACAGTCCCCTAGCTACGACCACAGCTTGTCCCAAAATGGCTGTGGAAGATGACGCAAGGAAGACAGGCAGGGATAGCACAGACGAGACTAGAGTTTGCTACGTCTAGCGTGTCTCACAGGATTCACAGCCCGCCCTGTCGGCACGTCTGGTTGGGGTCGGCGGGGAGGAGTAGTTCACGAGGGCGATGGGGTGGGTGGCCGTCCTCGGGCACGCTGCGAGGGGCGCTGAGACGCTGGCAGACCGTCGGAGTCCCGTCGAAAGTCTCCGAAGACGGGCGGCCCTGGCACCGCAGCCCACCTGGCCAGCAGGGTCGCCGGCGCCGTTCCCCGAAGGCAAGCGCGGAGTCCTCAGAGTGCTCTCCCGAGCTCGACCGGAAGAGATTCCGCAGCGACCGCAGGACTGCCAGCGGAATGCGTTCGAAAGAACGGGCAGAGGAATGGAGGTGGTGGTGATGATGACGAGGAGGAGGAGGAACAGGAGGGAAAGGAGGAGGAGTAGGAGGACGACGACAATGACGACGACGAGGAGGACGCTTATGACGATGATAATGATGAGGATGATGAGGAGGAGGAGGAGGATGATGATGATGCTAATGATGATGCTGATGATGGTGGTGGTGTTGATGATGATGGTGATGATGGTGGTGGTGATGGTGATGATGATGGCCATGATATTGATGGTGATGCTTATGATGATGATGTTGGGTATGACCCCAGAATATCGATGAACATGAATGTGCTGAATAATCCAAAGCTGGAAATTACGATGATGGTGAATATGATGATGCCGATGGTGATGATGATGATGATGATGCTGCTATTGATGATTATGGTGGTGATGATGATGCGACTGATGATGATGCTGAAGATGATGACGATCATGACGATGCTAATGACGATGCTGGTGATGATGGTGACGTTGCTGTTGACGATTATGGTGATGGCAGGGATGATGAATTTGATGATGACGATGATAACGAAAATAATTGTGATGATGATTGTGATGATGTTGATGATGTTGATGATGTTGCTGCTGATGGTGATAGTACTGATGATGCTGCTGATGCTGCTGACGGTGCTAATGGTGCTGCTCTTGATTAGTATGATGATGCTGCTGATAATGATGATACTGATGATGCTGATGATCATGATTATGTTGCTGATTATCGTTGTGCTGATGATGCTGCTGAGGATGATGCAATTAATGGCGATGATGCTGACGCTGGTGCTGTTGATGGTTATGATGGTGATGATGATACTGATGATGCTCATGATGATGAATATGATGGTGTGGTGGTCTTGATGATAATGATGATCATGACGGTGCTGATGCTGATGATGACGACCATGATGATTATGGTGATGCTAATGCTGGTGATGATGATGATATGATGATGATGGTGATGATGATGCCGATGATGATGATGCTGATGATGATCATGCTGTGGGAGGGGACGTCGCTCACCGCCCTCGGCGCTCGCTCGTGCTGCTTTCCATCCTTATCTTCTCCTCTGCCTCCGGCCGGTTTCCGCAGAGGTGTCCGCGCGAGGTTCCCAGAGGTAGTGCGTGGGAGGCCCCTGGAGGCCTTCGGAGGCCTCGGCTGGTGTAAGCCCTCGGATGGTTCACAATGCGGCTTTTTCAAAACGTCGGAAGGGTTTGCTGTTGGAGTTTCCGTGGACTAGCCCAGACACCCACGTTGATGACATGCGACTTCATCCGATGTTTCGCGGCTGTTCCCCTCAGTTTCCCTCCTCCGTTGTTGCTTTGTCTTGTAGATGTCGGAAGGTTTCTGCTACTGCGCAGTAGAAGATACAGCATCATGTGAAGGTTGTGCGTTTCGATGCAAGATCTGTGTCCTCGATCCCCCTCCCCCTGGCGCGGCCGACATGCGACAAAGGCCAGCAGCAGAAAGCTGGGCGGCGAGGTGCGCGAGCCCGCTGAGGCCGAGGAAGCGAGCGTTCAGCTCGAGCTCACCCAGGCAGAGGAGGAGAATCGCTGGTTGCACGGCGAGCGCGACAGGAGGGTGCTGCTTTCACGTTGTCCGCCTCCTCTTCGTATTCTCTCTCCTCCTCCTCCTCCTCCTCCTCCTCCTCCTCCACCTCCTTCCCCTCCTCCCTCCTCCTCCCTCAGCCGCCGTCCCGGCTCAGGGGCCTCGGGTGCAGCTACCCAGTAGCTGCGCGCCCCTCGGGACGGGCGGACATACGCGCCAGCCAGGGCCTCCTCGGCGCTCCCTGGCAGGCCGTGCCGCCGCTGACGAGTGGCCAGCGCCACGGGTCGTCAGCCCCTTACCAGCGAGCCCGCCTGGCACAGGCGAGCCCGCGAACGCCGCAGTCAAGCTCGGGTACTGCTCAGAGTGGCTTCCGCGCAGGCCACGCTCGCCTCGCACCACAGCAGTCCCGAGTACGTGCACATGTCCAGCAAAGCAGCATGGCAGCGCACCGCATCTTCGTGGTATTGTTCGCGCTGTGGGGCTTCGCATGCTGCTTCCACGGCTTGGTGCACAACATGTTTTCCAGATCGCAAAGGTTTGAGTCGACGGCCTTGGCGTCGCGACCGCTCCCTGTCACGTGCTGCGTCTCGAGGCGCTCAAGAGCGAGAGCCCTCCGAAGCAGCATCTCAGGCAGCCAGTATACGCAGTTCTACCACTACAAGGAGAGTGGCTTCGCTCGAGGAGGCCAAGGCACATCGCCTCTGGACCGAGCCACCGCCACTCGCAGCAGACAGAGAAGCTCACAGAGCTCATCTGAAGAGTGCCATGCGAGCTGTGGAGCAGCAGATCCAGGCACAAGAGAAGCTATCCACAGATGCCCCCCTTTTGGAGTCCAAGAGGATCGAGTATTCAGTCTACCAGTTCATGCATCTGTATTCGTACCCGTCGAAGGAGAGAGTCAGCAATCAGCAGGCGTACCTGGAGCGCATCGGCAAGCGCTTCGAGACAGCGCAAGAAGCAGAACGTCAAGCGGAGCTAGCCCTTTCAGCAGCTCAAAAGCATCGCGAAGCCATGTCAATAGAGCTCAACCAGGCGTCCTCGCTTCTGGAAAGCTTCAAGGTGCTGGCCGAGCAGGAGAGCCCCCACAAGTCCGTCACGTTCGAGGAGACGCCCACGCCAGTCACGGCAACAGCGCCTACGCCTCAGCCGCCATCGCCATTCGTGCCAACTGCACCGGTGCCACCTCAGGTCATTGCAGATCTTCAGGCCAATCAGAATGCCATGACATCAGCACTGACGGCGCTGCAGGGCTCCATCGTGACGATTCAGGCGACCCTGAGTCAACTCACTATTCAACCGCAGCCAGCAGTCCATGCAGCTCCGCCTTCATCATCTCCTACTCCAGGGAATGCAGTGCCGTCAGGTGGAGTTGCCAGCGGTCCAGTGGCAGCAGGCTCCGCGGCAGCACAGCGACCCACATCGCACATTGGCAAGGGTGGCGTCATCAAGACGCAGGGCAAGGTGAACGCTGCGAGGACTCGCCTGGAGCAGGCCGCCAAGGCCCCTGGGCAGATGCGGCTGTCACTTGGCCGATCTTCAAAGGACGACGACAGCCTCGAGCCGCCGCACAAGAGCATATGCCTGCCGCACGAGGATGGCGAGGAAGAGGTGCACTCGGGCGCCATGATCGAGGACGAGGACGCGGAGCAGGACGGCGCTGCAGCAGATCGTGCAGCAGTTTTTCACTAACCCGAGCAGCCAGAGCAGAGAGCTGGCTGCCACCAGGTCGGGTGGATATGAACGACAGTCAGTCTAATCATCAGGGGCAAGGCCTTCTTGAAGGGCCTTCTGGTTGTTCGGGTTTACCTCAGTTATCGCAGCCCAGTACCGTTGAAGTACGTGGATGCAAGACGAGTCCCCTACTGGACACGTCCATCGTCTTTCGGGAACTTTTCAGATCTTGGGACAGGCCTATCAATCCCAACTATTGGGCTTTGGCCAAGTACTGGCACTCTACCACCATTGGGGCCCTTCCTAGGCTCGCTCATATTTCAGATATCATCCCGTCTATTCTCCACATATATACGGATGGATCTGGTGGTTCATCTAGGGGCAGGCCTGCCTGGGCCTTTGTGGTCTTCGTCGAGGACTCTCTTGGGCACATGGCGCTCCTAGGCTTCGAGGGCGACGTCTTGGGCATCGAGATCCCCCCACATCTTACCTCATTGGCTGCCGAACTATATGGAGCTCAATGGGCCTTGGCTTGGTTCTTGCAGTCCTCGTATGCTAGCCTATGTCATGAATGTGAAGTTCAGGTTCACTGTGATAATTTAGAGGCTCTCCGAGTTGCCAGAGGAGGTGCACTCAGTGCTTCACTACGCTCGGCACGCATCGAGCTTGACAGCGTTGCGAAAGTGGTTCAGTATTTCGCACGTGGTGTCTCTTGGTTGCACGTACCAGGCCATTCTGGCCAGCCCTGGAACGAGATGGCGGACACAGTCGCCACGCTCGCCTCACTAGGCAAAGGTGATCTCCCGACGCCCGACGCATCCTGGAGGAGGTGCTTACAATCACCCCAGGCGCTCCAGTGGCTGTGGCTCAGGTTCGAGCCGCAGAGCGTGCAGTCGCAGTACCCACCCAGCGCAGGAGCAGCGATGCCTAACTTCCTCGAGACGGAGTCCGAGAAAGCATCAGCTCTCACCTCCCTCCTGCGCCTAGACACGAGACAGCCAGTTGCTTGTGGCCAGTTTACCGCAGGAGCTTCTTCCTGCCAGCTATGGGTCGCAGCTGCCAACGTGTTGTCCCTCAGCCCAGGCACGCTATCCGCATCATCGGCCAAGCCCTCGGGACTCTTTCTCTCGGGTCGCATGAAACAGGTGAGTGCCGCTTTCAGCCGACATCATTTTTTCCTGATCGGGACTGTCGAGACCAGGTTTCCTCGCTCTGGGGTTTCCACTGTGGCACCATACCATATTATACATTCAGAGGCTGATGAATCTCGTCGGTTTGGCTGTTCTCTCTGGATCAATACCTTTATCGAAGTTCTTCCCGGTGTATCTTTGCAGGCCAAGCATTGCTGGACACTTGCGGCGACCCCTACTTACCTCCTCGTCGCCCTTCGAGTCGACTCGTTCGCCGTGGACGTTCTCGTCGCTCACGCTCCTCACAGCAAGAAGCCAGAACATATCATCGAGGACTGGTGGAGGACGGTTTCGCTCGTTATCGCTTCACATCGCTCTCCAGGTGTTGAGCTGGTTTGTTTGTTGGATGCCAACGCTCGTGTCGGCTCGATTGTTTCCAGATACGTGGGTCCTATTGCGGCTGAGACCCAGAACCTTCCAGGACAGTATTTTCACAGCTTTTTGGAGGAGAACGAGCTATGGGTCCCTTCGACCTTCCTGGAGTCTGGTCAAACATCGGCTGCGACGTGGTTTCCCCCCTGGTTCCCACGGGCTCTCTGCGGGTCGCCGTATCGACTACATCACTTGCTCGTTTGGGATATCGGTCGCTAAGCAGTCTGTCGTGTCGGACGTGGACCTCACCATATCTATATTAGATCATCTCTTGGTTGCCGCAAGTATTACAGTTCCAGTTGCTTCCGTCACGCTTCCCATGGCCAACTCGCACAAAATCAAGTGCGACCAGGCTCGCTTTGCAGACGTGGAGGCACAGCAGCTTTTTTCTCAGCTTCTGCAGGAATGTCCTGCTGTGCCGTTCGAAGCCTCGCTCTCTTCTCACTGCCAGGTGCTAACGGATCATCTTCAGAGATGTTTGGAAACTGCTTTCCCTACGCGTACTACCACCACGGGCAGACGGCCTCGCCAACCCTGGATTTCCCAGAAGACTTTGGAACTGATGGATGCTCGTACTTCCCAGCCCCGAAGTTATAGACAGGTAGGCTTTGCTTGCAGACAGCTGCAGTTAGCTCTCTTATTCCATGTTTGGGCTGAGCCTATTCGAGGTCCATGGGCTTGTCTACGCACCAGGCAGTGGAAGTTGTCAGCTCGAACACCAGGAGTATTTGGCACCAGATGGGGCTCACGTGCGAGCCAGCTTTCTTCCCTCCTCAGGCCTACTCTCCTCGAGCTCTTCTACTACATTGACTGCCTGCGGGGCATGTTAGGTGAGAGGATCTCTAATGTGAGGTTCGCAGTGGAATCGAATACGTACCTCGTATATTTCAGGCTCTAGGTTCGTACTGGCGGGGCGGTCTTGGATCGGCTTTCTAGCCCAGCTACTCTGGAGGACATGCGTTGGGTTCTTCCTGGTACTTCGGCCCTATCGGGCTATGCGTCTTGCTGGAACTATGTCGTTCGTTTATCGGGCCTTGGTCTGGCCTCGCGTGCTATTGCGCTTGAAATTATGACAAGGTATGTGACGCACTTCGTTGACCAGGATGCGAAGGCCCACGCAAAACATCTTGCCCAAGAAGTTTCTTCAGCCTGGTCTCGTCAGGACTTCAAGGAGTCCTTTGCCAAACTTCGGGCCATGGGAGCCTGTTCGCGTCGCAAAAAATCAGCTCGGCCTATGCCGATGCTCCTGGGACCCGAGGGCAAGCCACTTCGTTCGAACATCGAGGTCGCGGATCGTTGGCTTCAGCATTTCAGTGGAGAGGAGGCGGCGCCAGTTATCCCGTTCTCTGATATATCATGGTACATGAACTCCCTCCCCGCCCTCACCTCTGACGTTACGCATAACGTGGACATTAACATAGAGGACGTCCCGTCCCTCGGTATCACCCAGCAGACGCTGTTTCGTGCCAAGGCTTCCGCTGCAGGCCCCGACGGCATCGCGGGAGCAGTCCTTAAGAAGTTCGCGCTGCAGATCGGTCGCCTTTTTCACCCACTGTACGTTAAGAGCACGGTCCGTATTTGTGAACCTATCCAATGGAAAGGCGGGTTTTACTGGAGTCTGTTCAAGGCCGGTGTCCTCTCTAATGTCAAAAACTACAGATCCATCTTAGGATCTTCTCAAGTGGGAAAGAGGTTTCGTGCTCTTACTCGTCAAAGTGTGGTGTCCCAGCTCGAGCAGGCAGCAGGGGACCGACAGTTCGGCGGCCTGGCTGGTCGCGGTACTGAGTTTTCAGCGC